TTAGGTATTTATGACATATTTGTGTATTGTATATTTGTATTTAATGACAGGATCTTTATATTTTAGGATTTTATATTTTGGTTTTTTTGGTTTTTTTTCCTATACCAGTTAAATTTCCGACGGATTTCTGGTGGAAAATCCGTCGGTAGATAATTAGATATAAGTTTTATTTAAAAAATTTCTTGCGGATTTTCCGCGTTGGTAAATATTTTCCGTCCATTAAAAATAAAAAAAATATTTTCATATTTTAAATTAGAAAAAGTTTTAAATAATAATTACCGACGGAATTTCCGTCAGAAATCCGTCGGAAAAATGTTATTTTTATTTTTGAAATAAAAACCGGTTATTATTTTGGAAAAAAATGGAAAAAGTTTACCGACGGATTTCCGACGGAAATTCCGTCGGTAAATCTAATCTCATTTTATATTACTTTTAATTAACCCGGGTAATAGATAACATATTATAAAATTGCACGACGGATTTCCGACGGATTTTTTCGTCAGAAAATACAAATCCGTCGGAAAATTCCGTCAGAAAATGCATTTAGCGGTGGGGGTTTTTCTGACGGAAAAATCCGTCGGAAATCCGTCGGAAAGTTGTTTTTCCGACGGATTTTGCCGTCGGAAATACCAGATTTTTTAGTAATGAATTTTATGTATGTTCGTGTTATGATTTTGATTGCATTATAATTTTATCTATTGGGATATAAAGATTTGAAGTCTTTAAGTTTGGTATGTGATTTTTTACATATTGTATGGTTGGTCCATTCACTATTGTGTTTTTAAAGTCAAGGTGTGTGTTGAAGATGAAAAATAGTACATGTACATCATCCTTTGAAGGAGACATATCTTTATGTGGATTATTTTTTATTCTTAATTTTGTGTCAGATTCCTTAATATTTCCGTCGTTATTATTACTCATTTTATTTAGTTTTACAACTTTATTACTAAACAAATCTCTCTCTCAATATATATATGTGTGTGTATATTAAAATTTCACTAACTATATTTTATTTAACTTTTTCGAATTATTTGAATATGATTTGTTGATGATTCTATTAACAATTAATATATATTTATATAGACAATCCTCATATCATTAATCAAAGCACTCATACTACCGCGCAACGCACGATTCCCATACTAGTTATTATATATTAAAAGAAGAACCATGAGTGTTTGAGGTGGCATCATGAGAATTGGATATTGAGGTGTTGGTTAATTGTGGTTGAGTTTGAAATGTCCCACATTGGTAAAAGATTGAAAGATTAAAATAAGGAGGTGTGTATAAGAAAGAATGACAAGAGTCATTTTTCAACTCATGAGGCTTAACTCATAAGGTTATTTTATTTGTATGATCCTATTTTTTTTAAAACAAATCTTATATTGTGCTAACTC